CTCTTCTCCGTGGTGCCCAGCGACAGGACAAGAGGCAACAGGCACAAACTGGAACACGGGCAGTTTCATCTGAACGTGAGGAAAAACTTCTTTTCTGTGAGGGTGACAGAGCACTGGAGCAGGTTGCCCCAAGAGTTTGTGGAGTCTCCTTCCCTGGAGATATTCAGAAGCCGTTTGGACACGGTCCTGAGGAATATGCTCCAGAGGCCCCTGCTTCTGCAGGGGGATTGGACTAGGTGATCTCCAGAGGTCCCTTCCAACCTCAGCCATTCTGCGATTCTATGTAATACTTACTGGTATTAATCTCTCCCTCTCCACACTGATGGAGTGTCTCAGTTATGCTTCTCTGTGTTTTGGGTAGCTGTCATACTAGAGAGTCCTGAGAGCCATGTGTGAGGGACCCTTTATGTGGAAAGGAGGAATTGGCAGCTATTGCGTCATTGTTCTTCCCACGGATGACCCTTACACGTGCATGGATCCATGTTTTCCGTGTAGGGCCACTGAGCTAGTCTTAAGTTGTTTTACATCTCCTAACGCAGAGAGGTTCAGGTGCAGTGAAAACAAGGGCTGCTGGCAAACGCCAGTCCTGACAGTGTGACTGTCTGGGGTCGTGCTGAGGAGGGAGTTGGTAAGAAGGACGATTCATAAAATCCAGAGATCCTGCCTTCACAAATCTGTTGTGTTTGCATAGGTAGCAAAACATCTGTTGGTGTTAGGGAGACCTTAGCTATATAAAAGTGTGTCATCATTTGCTTGGGAATAGAGAAAGGTTCTCCCTGTCACCTGGTACAATGAAGGGGTAATTGTATTGGAAAGATAATTTTGAGACAAATTTTCTTCACAGAGGGAGCTCCTCCTTCACCTCCTTATGATGAGAACTGCTTTGAAAGAAGAAAACTGGTCTATTCATATTACTTTGAGGAAGAATTTGGAAGAGTTTTTTCTTTGGTTACTGTCAATACAGCTGTTAGTGAGCAACTGTGTGAATGGTCAGTAGCAGTCAACAGATTATAGAAAGTGATAACAGCAGATTAGGAGGACACAGGTGCCTGTTGATAAATCAGGGCCTGTGTTTATTTTATATTTGGGGCTTTCAGTAGTAGAAGCCTGTATTGTGGTAAAATTATTCATCGTGATTTGATCTACTAGTCTCTCTTGAAGGAGTATATTTTATGGCTGAGGGGATATGTATACAACAGCCCGTAGTGGCTGGTACTTCATTGTTCTGTACTTTTCTTGTGTTCGCTTAGCAGCTCTCAGGAGGCTGTAGTGCAGCTACTAACTTCTATGGGTCAGTCCCAAAGCCAGAGTGATGTTAAAGGTCTTAAAGGAAAGGAGTGCTTTTATCAGAGCTCTGAAATTGTGTATTCAATGACAAATTTTATTTTTTAATGAGAGAGATGCACACTTAATGAGAGAAGGAATAGAGCCAGCCTAGAAAGAAGAACGTGAAGAACTGTTGATCCTTAAAACCCAAAGAACGTAGATATTTCATTGGCGAATACGAGCATCCTGGGGCATGCAGAAGCTGCTCCCCCTCCACCCGTTTTGTATAGGGAGATACATCATTGCCATAACCCCCCCCCCCCCCCCGCAAGAGCACAACAAGAGTAGTGGATTGATGTGACCTTTTTGAAGAACACACAAGTTACAGGAGGAAAAAAAAAATCCCTTTACAGTTAATAATCTGTCTGAGTCTCACAGGTACTTATTACCACTAGCGTTACTATCACATACACTGAGACGGAGTGCTTTACTTATTGTAATCTTTAGCTTGTGGACCAAATCTGAAAAAGTTGTCAAAAATAACCCCCCAGAGCTGTCTATGGTTTATGTATATCATCTATTTTAAGCACTCTGAACAACCTAAATGTTCTCTCAGTTGTTCTGTGGGGATATCCACTTTTCTCCAGTAACTTTATGAGGGATCTGTGCCCCTGATTTAGGCAGTAATTAAGTTCCTAAGGAGTCTAATCTCCTAATCTGAGTGTCACGAGTGCCTAACATAGGTAGTAAGCACTCTCCCTCCATACTGGATCCAGCAATTGGAATGGAGGGTTAGTGGTAAATGTCAATCACCTATAGCCTGCTCTAGGAGGTAGGAGATTATGGTAAACGAGGAAGGAGATAAACTATTTTTAACAAGTTAAATAAAAACAACTCTAATGAGCCATGTATTCATGCAATCAGTCTGTAAAAAGAACTCCTGTGAACTGCTGTTCTGTCTCACCAACAGAAGAATAAAATTTTCTGTACGTTAACACTGTACACGTTTTCAGGAATGTGGAATACAAACCAAAAAATTCCCAAAGCATTTGAAATTTTTATGGCGTTGAACTGTCTAAAATCTCCATATCTGGCTTAAAGCACAGTTATTTTGATATTTTTGCATTGTTTTGACATTGTAGACTGGAAAGCTACAAAGTACAATGATACTGAGAAGTAAACATCTAGTGAGGAAAATACGGGATAAAAATATTGAATTTAGGTTTAGTTTGAAGCCAGTATGGGAGCCAGTTCAGTTATTAAATTCTATTCCCTGTTCACACATTTCATCTCTGATGATGTCTAAGAAGGATATTTCAGACAGATTCTGCTATTGCTTATACTGCTGTAAATCTTCAGTGTTGCTACTGCTGTCACTGAACTGCATTCTGGAAAATCTGCTCTTGAGTGCCCTGGGGAAATTGCTTTTCTGTTGCAGAAAAAAATTGCAAAAGCTTTCTCTAGACTTCATCACCATGAAAAATAGTTCAAGACTTTCAGGAGTTCAGAGAGCAGAGTAGTCCACTGGAGGTTGTTCAAAAATACAAGAACTGCTGTAGTATCATGTAAGATTATTACAGATGAACCAAGTTGAAAGTCAACACTAGCTCTTTCAATTTGTTTACTGTATGTTCTCAACAAAACAGCTTGTAGTTAATTTTACTTTGTTAGGTCTCTTTATAGAAAGCACCTACAAATATCAGCGAGAGGGTGAAAAATTCTAATTACATTTTTTTGAATGATTCAAGAAAAAAAAATTAGGATGTGCTATTTAAGGATATTTTGTTAGAGTCTGAGATTTTTAAATAGATGTATTTATAACAGTTAATTCAATTTGAAAGTCTCTCTTTAAGAGTTTATTGCTGTCTTGTTACATGCACAATTTATTCCAGCTTTTGGAAATAGTCACTGCAGATTTAAGGACAAAATTGAGTCCTTAATGAGTGTGTGTAGTAATCAAATAGCATTAAGGTACACTTGTTTTCCTTTTTGAAGTAAATACTCCCTGTCAATTCTGCTGTAAAACATGAGTACTCATGAACGTTGTTATCGTTCTTCCCCCTTAAAATGAGTACAAAACACTCCCACAACTAACTAATACTTACACTGCTGCATGAGAAGTACATGATGGCCTGAAAGGATAGCTAGGATGTGTTGGAGATTCATATATTTTATGTACATATGTCTGCAGCAGATCCACACAGACTGTTGGCAAGTCTGAAGGAGAGGATGGCTAGACATTTAGAAAGAAAACAAATGGGAAGGCTCGCAAGAGTTTCCAGAACCTTTTCTCCTTGTGATGCTCGGAGGTAACGTTTTGAATCCGTAATCTACCAAGGAGTCGCTGTGTCTAGCTCCATTCACACTGAATAACCCCATTTAGCTTTCCTACGGATTTTTATCAAGAAAATGCAGCTTTAACGTCCAGTCTTCCTCCGTGCCTTTCTGGCGAGCCAGAGAAGTGGTGAAGGTGGATTTCACCGTTTTCTAGAGTGGAGCCAAGCCTTGAGCCTCTCTATGTGCCTTCAGACTTCTCCAGCTGCTTCTTCCCTGCTTTGCACCAGCCTTGGCCCCGTGAGACTCTGCCCGCAGAGTGGTGCCCTCGGGAGCACAGGGGTTCCCAAGCTGCGTAGAAAACACCAGTGATGCGTTGTGCCCCGACGGATGCTAAATGCAAAACGGCTTGTCGTGGACCTGGCCCTGTTACTAAGCGCCCTAGGGAGAAGTTGGCGTTCAGGTGCCTGTTGTGGCAGGGAGGGTATGTGCCTCAGGGGAGGGGCTGCAGAGATCGGATGCTCTCCTGCTTTATCAGCAGTTGCATTACTGTACACTTTTGAGAATTAACCCTTCCCTTATTAACACTGGCTTTATTTGATACCCCTTGAAGTCTATTTACATTCTCATTCAAATGTTACAATACATCTACCTTGAACGTGTGAAAGGTTTGCTGGAAGCCTTCTGCCTCCTTTATTCTGAGGTATTCTAGGAGTATAACGTTATTATCAAATAATACTTGCTGGAAAACATGGCCATGAATTCATAGCCCTTCAGATCTGC